AAAAACATCACTCAGTCCAAGGGCAGATAGGCTGTGTTAACCCAGCATTGGACTCTCCGAGCAGTGCACTGGAGAATTTGTAATTATTAGTATTTAAAAATACAAATAATTTTGTATTATACAAAAAATACAATTTTGTTAAGGCAAAATAACTATTAATGGCATGATGTAAACTTTGATGCTTAATGCTTGGAAAGAAATGCTTTGTTCTTTTTCTCTGTTCTCTAACACTTATTTTCTTTTGTATTTTTATCTTACGATAAAATTTAATATAAAGAAAGCTTACTTCAAAGCTAATATAAAAATGGTTGTATAATCCTATATTCCTCTTTTACAGATAGACTTTCACACTAAGAAAAAACTCTGTGGTAATCCCACTGTACCAAATGTTATAGATTTCCACATGAAAAAGTATAGGTGTTTAGTTATGACACGTTACACATTATATCTGGTATGGGCAATTAATTTTTTTCAAAGAAGGTGTCACAAGAAACAGACTGTTGTGGAGAGCTGTTGCCCCACTGCCCTGCCACTGTTAGTGCCCTGCCCACCATAGATGCTGCTGACTGGACTAAGACAGCCTGTGGGGCAGATGCAGCTTACAGGCAATAAAATGATCAGGTCTGCACTATACAGTATCATACATAAAATTATTACCTCTCCCAAAGAGAAATAGTGTCGTGGTATTTGGGAATCAGGATAAACATTCTCTAAATACCAGGAAAAAGGTTTGCACTGTAGCTTCTGTCTTAGTCCAAGTCGTGAAGAAATGTCTCCATAATCCACCTTTGTAACCCCTTTAAAGAAATACATATTACTGTTAAACTCTGCAGAGAACCACAATATTACTTTTTCTTTTATAAAGTTTTAGTGAAATATAAATACAGTAAATCATATTACTTCAAAACACCAATCTTTACACATAATCTTTAAAAAGGGCTCTGAAAAACTATAATAAATTTGATTTTAAACTATTAGGCATGGATACAATTTTAAAAAGTAATTCTATAATTCAGCTTATCAGCCCTGCCCCATCTGGTTCTCTAGGAAAGAAAAACACTTGACTCCATCTGAAGATTTCAACGATCTTTTATCAGACAACTGGATGCTGCTAAAGCAATACAGAAAATCTGCACAAATTGCTACATTGTTCCAAACTTTTAACCTTCCCCCTTTGACTAGTTCATCAGTGTCCAAGAGGATGGTAGTTGGATGTTTTGAGTAAAGGACACTTCGAGAAGCAGTTAACATTCCATTCCCAGGTCCTGGGCGCCCAAAGATACTTGAAGTGTCCAGATGACACTGGTTCACACCTTGCCTCTTGTTCCCACTAGTCCCTTCCTCCCCCGCCCCCTATTTACAACAGGCCCTCTTACCACTCATCTCCCTCTCTGGGTTGTGATAAACTGCAACACAAGCAACAGGGAAGGCAGCCTGACATGCCCCCCTTCACAGGGACATTAATCTTAGAAAGAGCAGAGAGTGATTAGAGGAGGTCTTGTTTATGCAGATATTAGTTATGAAATCTCTGTAGTCTGGGAGCGTGCTCATGCCATGCATACATCCATTGGTTTCAGAAGGGGGGAAATATTTCCAAGCTACTAGGTATTGGACTTTTTATGTGCTTATGGGAGTCAAGAATATCTTTAACTTAAAATGTTGTTCTCTTTCAATCAGGGTGCTCAAGGAAGAGATTAGTGCCAGCTTCAGCAAACCTGCAATGAAATACCGGATGGATTTCTCCAAGGTCTTTGGGAAATATAAATTGTATGTGACAGGGTTAATGATTTTACAAATGGGAAAAGGACCAACATCTGGAGCCTAGTTTTTTCGATGTTTGTCAACTGTTTTCAGTATAAATCAGAATGTTATTAAAGTACACTAGGATCCTCTTGTATAGAGGTTCATGCAGGAACTACATTTATAAATTGCATGAACACGGTGGGGGTACCATGGAGCCCAAAAGGGAGGATCCAGAACTGGGAACATCCCAATGGAAAGTTAAATGCAGTTTTCCACTCATCCCCTTCTTTAATTCTCACTCTGTAATAGGCTTCCCACAAGTCCAATTTAGTGAAAATCTACCCTTTTGCCAGATGGCCTCACACTGTGATGGCGAACCTAGGGCACACGTGCCAGAGGTGGCACCCAGAGCCCTCTCTGTGGGCATGCGTGCTGCCCCAGCTCAGCCAGCCTCACCTCCCCTGGGCTCTTGAGTTTCAGAGATCTTTGAAAGATGAGGAAAGTGTGAGCCTGGTGGGGTGGAAAGCAGTGACCCAGTGGATGGATGGGGTAAGAGAGAGGCAGGCAGCACTGTAAAGTCCCTGCAGTCAAGTAAGGGCAAACAATCATGGGAGTACTGCAGTAGCAGTACTTTTTGGACCAAGTCATAAGTAGTTTTCTGGGGGTCACTGTAACTTCGAATGGTTGCTAAGTGATCCATTGTGAGTCAAAGACTACCTGAGTTTCCACATATTATTATCTAGCTACGTGCAGAATAGAAATATAGAGACCAGAGGTACAGAAGTATAAACAAAAAATGGGAAGAAAGGTACAGATATGTGTGCAGAGAAAATCTACTTAGGTTTCTATTCCCTTGTGAAGAGAGAAGTAGGACAAAGACAAACTTTTGGGTTGTGGCTCCAATTATATTTGATTGTGGCTCTAATTAACAGCGGGGACAGAGAATTAATTGATACAGAACATTTCTGTCCCCAGCAATCTAAAATTAACAGGGTTATCAGTGCATGTAACATAGATGTTTGTGCGGGTAAGATTATCAGTCCTGCTGCCAAGCAAAACCAAGCATTTAATAGTGAGTGCCATACCATGTCCACGAAGCAAACAAGTGGCAAGAAAGTAGGGGCATCAGGCATAATACAAGTTATGTAGACAGTAAACACAGGGTCGATCAAAATGGACTCAAATGTCTATACACCAATGCACAGAGTATGAGGAATAAACAGGGTGAATTAGAAATTCAAGTAAATGAGGGCAGATGTGATATTGTTGCCATCCCAACTTGGTGGGATGAAACCACAAATGGAACATACAGCTAGAAGGATTTAAATTATTTAAAAGAAATAGACCAAATAAAAGAGGAGGTGGAGTTGCACTATATATTAGAAATAACTACATCTCTACAGAAATAGGACACAGCAATGATGAAAATTGCCTTGAATGCATTTGTGTGAATATAAAAGGGTGAAAAAACGACATTGCTATAGTTTTATATTATAGGGCACCCAACCAAGCAGAGGAAGTAGATGAACTTTTTGCTAGTCAGGTAACTAAGGTATGTAGGAAGCACACCACAATAGTAATGGGGGATTTTAACTACCCTGACATCAACTGGGAAACAAACTCTGCACCAAGTGGAAGATCCAACAGGTTCCTAACAAACCTAGCAGAAAACTTTGTTTCCCAAAAAGTAGAGAAGGGAACAAGGGGATCAGCCATATTGGACTTAATTCTCACTAACAGAGAGGAAATGCTAGAAGGTGTTGAAGCCATAGGAACCCTGGGGGCAAGTGATTATGCAATATTGGAATTCAACATTATGCAAACACAAGTAGTAGAACAAAGTCAAACTAGAGTCTTGGACTTTAAGAGAGCTAATTTCAATAAACTTAGAGCTTGGGAAGGATTCCATGGAGGAGAATCCTCAAGGATAAAACAACCCAAGAAGCTTGGGAAATTTTGAAAAGTGAGATTATAAAAGCCCAGTCTAGCACAATACACAAGAAGAAAAATAACAACCTCCAAAAGAAACCAGCATGGCTGCATAAAGAACTCTCTGAAAGACAAAAAGGATGAGTATAAAAAGTGGAATGAGGAGGACATAACTAAGGCAAAATATCAGCAAATAGCCCGAGCCTGTAAAGATGAAGTGAGGAAAGCTAAGGCTCACAATGAAGAAAGTCTTGCGACAGAAGTGAAAAATAACAAAAAGCGCTTCTTACAACATGTTAAAAACAAAAAAAAGTCAAGGAAACAATTGGTCCATTGCTGGGAGAAAGTGGCAAGAAAGTGACAAGCAACAGGGAGAAAGCAGAACTATTTAACTCATTTTTTGCAGCTGTCTTTACACAAACAGTTCAACCTATCAAAAACAGCTCCACAAAAATCAAATTAGGAACACAAATTGAAATAGGGAAGAAAATGGTAAGTGAGCACCTGTCTACCCTAGACGAGTTCAAATCACCAAGACCGGATACATTTCACCCCAGGATTCTGAAGGAACTGGCAGACGAGATCTCAGAATCACTGAACTATATCTTTCAGAGATCCTAGCGCACCAGGGAACTGCCAGAGGACTGCAAAAGAGCTGATATGGTTCCCATCTTCAAAAAAGGGGGAAAAGATAGATCCAGGAAACTACAGACCTATCAGCATGACCTCAATATCAGGGATGATTCTAGAAAAGATAATCAAGCAACGAATTAGCGAACACCTAGAAGGGAAAAAAGTTATAGCCAAAAGCCAACATGAGTTTATCAAAAACAGATCATGCCAGACTAATCATTGCATTATTTGACAAAGTGACAAAATTAGTGGACCAGAGGAATGAGCCAAGGTGGCGCAGTGGTTAAATGCAGCACTGCAGGCTACTGCTAGATCAGCAGGTCAGCGGTTCAAATCTCACCGGCTCAGGGTTGACTCAGCCTTCCATCCTTCCGAGGTGGGTGAAATGAGGACCCAGACTGTGGGGGCGATATGCTGACTCTGTAAACCGCTTAGAGAGGGCTGAAAGCCCTGTGAAGCGGTATATAAGTCTAACTGCTATAACTGCTATGTTGTCAATGTAATTTACTTGGACTTCAGTAAGGCATTTGATAAAGTAGACCATAACCTACTAATAGATAAAGTAGAAAAATGTGGATTAGACAGCATCAGCATCATAACTGGCTGACCAACCGCACTCAATGTGTAGTCCTCAGTGGAACTGCATCTACATGGAGGGAAGTATGCAGTGGGGTACCCAAGGCTCTGATTTAGGCCCAGTACTCTTCAACATCTTCCTCAATGATTTGGATGAGGGGATAAATGGGGAACTCATCAAATTTGCAGATGACACCAAGCTGGCAGGAATAGCCAACATTCCAGAAGATAGGCTTAAGATACAGAAGGATCTTGACAAACATGAACACTGGCCACTAGTTAAAAAAATGAAATTCAATGGTGAAAAAATTAATGTTCTACAGTTAGGCAAGAAAAACAAAATGCACAGGTACAATATAGGGGTACCTTGCTCAATAGTAATAACTGTGAGAGGGATCTTGGAATCCTAGTGGACAACCATTTAAATATGAGCCACCAGTGTGCAGCAGCTGCTAAATAAGCCAACACGGTTCTAGGCTGCATAGACAGAGGGACAGAATCAAGATCATGTGAAGTGTTAATACCACTTTATAATGCCTTGGTAAGGCCGCACTTGGAATACTACATTCAGTTTTGGTCACCACGATGTAGAAAAGAGGTGAAGACTCTAGAAAGAGTGCCTGGTCGAAGTTTCCGATGGCTGTATTACCTGCTGGAGTACCCTTCTATTGAAGAATGCCTCTGTAGATGCAAATGCATCCAGTCAGTAATATTTGATAAAAGGTGACGGCAAGGCCCAAGTGGCCACCCAGTAAATACCCTCAATTGGAGCCCTAGTGATCCATGCCGCCGAGGTGGCCGCGCTCCTAGTGGAGTGGGCCATAATGCCACTGGGCACTGGCAACCGTCGGGTCTCATAAGCACGTGCAATAGCTGCTCTTAACCAACAACCAATGGTAGATGGTGTGACTCTGGCTCCTAGGGTAACTAGAATGAGACAGAAAGAGCCTCCAACTGTCTAATGCTGTGATGGAGAACCTATGGCACTTGTGCCACAAGTGGCACACTGAGCCATTTGTCAGGGCACGTGAGGCGTTGCCCTGTCAGCCCCAGTGTGCATGTGCGCACTGGCCAGTTGACTTTGGCCTTCTTTTGAGACCATCTTTTGCCCTCCAGAGGCTTTCCTAAAGGCTCCAGGGGGCAAAAAATGCCCTTATGGCCGAACCGGAAGCCTCTGGCTATTTTCGCCCTCCCCAGGCGCCTAGAAAGCCTCTGGAGCTTGGGGAGGGTGAAAAAAGAGCGTCAAAATCAGGGGGGACGGACGCTGGTCGCACATACATACAAAGGCGGGAATCATGTGCACATGGGCCAAAAGTGGGGGGAGCGCACTCCCTCCCCCGCTTTTGGCACACAAGCCAAAAAAGGTTCGCCATCTAATGGAAGCAGTGCACTTCAGATTGCCTTTGCCATAGATGTTCCCTGTCGTGAGATTGGCCAGTACAGCTGTCCAGGAGAACGACTTCCTGAGCCCTGCGGAATGGGGGGTTTACTTTTGAAAGAAAGGGAGGATCCAGTCTAAGAACTACTCTATTGTCATGGAACACGCACTTGTCATCCCTGATTGAAAGAGCCCCTAGATATGAAATATGGCTAGCCGACGTAATGGCAACCAGAAACACTACTTTGAGCATCAGAAACTGTCTACTGTTGCTCTGCTGAGCCAGTCGGCTTGATGGTACACTGATCCCGAAATGTGCTCCGCCATGATTGATGCGAGAAGTCTCGCCCATGCTGCAGCTTTTGAGCCTTGAATCACAATGCTTTCGAGTGAGTCCCCATTGATGGTTGATGTGGGTTTTTCTGACCATGTTGTCCATCAAGAGAAGAATGTGTCTTCCTTCGTGGTGTTTCCGGAAATGGCGGAGGGCTAGTCAGGCCGCCTTGAGCTCCAATTGATGTTGTAAAGCAGGTCTGATGGAGTCCACTGTCACTGCGCCAGATGTGTGTCCAGAAGGGCCCCCCAGCTGAATAGACTTGTATCTGTGGTCAGGGTGCTTCTCAGCAGATCTCTGATCCCTTGTCCAATGCTCGAGACAGGCACCAACATAGTGAAAGTGGAAGTGCTTGTGTTTAGCTGCTGGTAAGGGAGCATAGACCATTGTAGGGTTCTGGTGTGTAGCCAGGCCCAAGGAAGAATTCTGATACAAGAGATCATCTTGCCCAACAACCTGGATAGGACAGAGCCAGATCAATGACCTGAGACTGTCTTGCTGGTCTGGTGACAAGATGATCTTTCTTGCTATAGTATCTATCACCGCCCTCAGGTGCAGGAGTTGAGTTGTGGGAATTAGATTACTTTTTTTGAAGTTCACAGAAAACCCGTGAATCTGAAGAGTTCAAATGGTGAGAAGGTCTTGCCAGGCCTGTGATGGTGATGTCGCTTGGACCAGGATGTTGTTGAGGTAATACTGGATCCTCACTGGGTTTGCGCAGAGATGGGTCATTAAGGCTGCAAGAACCTTGGTGAAGGCTCTGGGGGCAGAGGCTAGTCCGAATGGCAGTGTCCATGGTAACGTACCCCTGCGTGTGAGAACCTGAGAAACCTCCAGTGTTCTGGGAGGATTATTATGTGTAGATATGCCTCTGTGAGGTCAATGAAGGCCAGATGGTCTCCCTCCGAGACCCTCGAGGATTGACTTCAGCGAGGACATTTTGAACCTCTAACATTCTAAGTGGGTATTGAATAGCTTTAAATCTAGAATCGCACTCCAGCCCCCCGAATTCTTCAAAACTACGAAGATGTTGCAGTAGAACCTCAAGCCTAGTCCTGTCTATGGAACTAGCCCTATAGCTTGAATGTCTAGCAGGTGCTTAACTGTGGTCCTCATTGAGGCCCTGCTTCATCTTGTTCTTGGAAACCGAGAAAGTGGTTTGGGGAAAGGAGAGGAACTCTAGTCAGAGGCCTACCCGTACTGTGCTTAACACCCAGGAGTCAGAGATGATGTTCTCCCACAGGTCTGTGAACAAGGCAAGGCCTATGGAAGGACTCGATCCCGAGTCACTTGCCCCTGAGGAAGGGACGACCGCATTCCCCTTGAAATGGCCTTGTGCCCTGAGACTAAAACCTGGGCCTATCAGAACGGGCCTGGAAATACCTATGATGTTAGAAGTCCGACTCTGGAGGGTGGAAGGAAGACCTTCAAAAGTAAGGCTAAGGACATTGGTCCTGTCGCTTGGTGGAAGTGGGCAAGACCTTGAGCTTCTCCTTGTTCTCCACTAAGATGGATTCTAGTGACTCACCAAACAAGGAATCCTCCATAAATGGAGAGGAAGCTAATTTCCACCTGGATTTAGTGTCTGCCTGCCAGTTACGCAACCACAATAGTCTTCTAGACATGACAGAAGAGGATAGTGTTTTGGATGCATACTTCACCGTGTTAAGGGTGGCGTCCATAGAGAACTATGTGGCTGCCATCACTTTGTTTACATCCTGTTGAAGACGTGGATCCCCAGGAGGAAGCCGTTCTTGCAGTTGACGTAACCACAAAAGGGTTGTGCGATTAAAGAAGAAAGTTGCGGCCACAGTCTTAATGGCCCAGGCATGTGACTGGTACATCTTATGCAATGTCAGCTCAGTTTTCCTGTCCTCAGCTTTTAGGTTGTCTGCTATATTTCCTATTACTAATGAGGCTGAGGAGGCCAAAGCCACCACAGACACATCAATAGATGGGACCTGAAGAGCCTGCATGAAGCTTTGTTCCATGTTATAAAACCTACTATAGGCATTGCCCACAGGATTGGGAATGCTGCCGGCCAGGCCCATTGCTTTTTTACCATGTCTAGAAATAGCTGTGGTGCCAGAATCTCCTCCTTTTCCACTAAAGGTTCTGAAAATAGACCTTCACTTAAATTTTGATGACTAGTGGAGGCAGCAGGAGTTGAGGCTCCAGTTCCCAATTTGGTAGTGAAATGAGCCTTGTGGAGAAGAGATTTTAAAAGGGACGAAGAAAACAGACCTGTAAAGGCTGGGGGAGGGGTGTTTGAGACCAGGACCTTGTCATCATCGGACATATCTAGGTCATGCTGAGTCTCGTCGCCAAACAGGGAACCCTCACTGGCTAGAGAAGGGGAGCCAGCTTAAGGCCCTGAACAGCTAGCAGATTCTGGGAAGGCTGGGAAGAGTGCTGGGTCTTGCAGGACTCCCTGTGGGTAGGATGGGCCTCCCTGTGAAATGGCCTTGGTGATAAGCATATTATCTGGGATGCCCTGCATATAACCTTGGTCAGTCAGAGGTTGCACCTCCAGAGATGGAATGGCGGCCTGAGGAGCCAGTAAGGTGCGGGGCTGATCATGGTCTACCTCAGGAGCCCATAATCAAAAGGGTCTACTGACATCTCTAGCATATCCTTGGTCGAAATGGGAAGGGATAGGGAGATATCTGCTCCAGACGAACCCCTCAAAGAAGCCAGGGAAATAGGAGAAAAGATCGAGACTATGGACCTGCAGGGAGACCATGATCTGGCCGGAGATGGACTGGGCTGAGTTTCATGACCCTCTCTATGCCGTTCAGCTCTGGCCACCCTCTTATCCAGCGCCTTTTGCCTTCTTTGTTCATCCCTAACAGTAGCCCTAGATGGGCGCTGGGCAGCTGGGGCTTTGTAACTTCTGCTTCTGATATTGACCTGGAAGAGGTAGTGCCCAAACTAGGGTCCCTGGAGAAGGCAGGAGGTCCTGCTGCACTATCCCTTCTGGTGTCTGCCATTTTTGAGCCACTCTACTTACTCACACTCCTTCGACCTGACAGTATGACTGCTGATGCCTCCAAGCGCTCCAACAAAGAAGAGAGGATCAGTCGCTCACACCGGTCTCTCCGTTCTGAACAGCAGCGCTGATGTTCGTAGGGAAAGGAAGCTGACTCCATGTGGCTGGGCTCCCAAAATGGCTGCCGCCGCCACCAATCTCACTCCTGCAGATCTCCATAGCTCGTAGAAACAGCCAAAATGGGCTATTTCCAATGCTACTGCCTCGCTGTGGAGAGACCCCTTTTGTGGTTTAGCGGAGGCTACAAGAACTCTCCTGGCTCCACATGGCCAAGGGAAGCCGAAAATGGCCGCCGGAACGTCCGGCGCTCTGAAACAGGTGGCAACGTTACACGGCCCCTATTATGGTCAAACAGCTT